AAGTCTCGTCATCTTTTTTGTAGGGTCAATCAACTACAAAATAATCACTATGAATTCACAGCTCGTTGATTGCGAAGTTTTCAATCAGGGTAGTAAGGATGGAAAAGACGGTTCAGCATCTATCAAATCATTAGGAGTCAAGTGGGGAAGACTACAGTTGTGTGACCCTCGAGCAGCTCCCCCCATGTGCATTCTAAACATGCAATTATGGAGTATTCTTGAGGTGCATGACTCAAGCACTGTTACAGTACACCAGACCTCCATAGTGACGAGGAATTTGGTCTGTTATAAAAGGGGTCTGTAAAATCCAAGTGCTGTTACAAAAGACTTTTACATAAACACTGAATAGGTCTCCCATAACCAGGGAGAATTACAAGTCATAAATGAATTTACTCTCAACAGGGGCATAAAAAAATGATTTTTTGAAAATCACACTTAGTTTCCGAGTTTCTGTGGCCCCCACTTTTTTCTTTATATCTGATTCCAAAATATCTTCAGTGAAAACTACGCAGAAGTGCTGTAAAGAATTTTCGCACCAGCCGAGAAGGCAAGAGTTATTTCGGAAATCACAAACAAAAAAGTTTTTCAGAAAATTATAGCGTCTGAACGGCACAACCATGCTACCTAGTGACGTTTTCTCTCTCGTTCTGTGTTCACTAGTCACGAAACAGTGAAGGCAGCTGCAAGCGGAAGTTCAGTTATCAGATTACGATAGCGCGCCAAGCTCATCGCGAACAGCATATGCGCTTCTTGGATCTACTGTAAGAGCGTCTCGTTGGACAATCTGCCAATCAGCCCTCGGAACTTGAGACGATGACCATGGCGGCACAGCTCTTTATACAGTTGAACATGGATATATCAAACCAATATATAGAATTTTTGCAAGTTATCCCCTTGAAATTCCATTGTAAAAGTATAGGAATTCGCATTTTATATCGAACCATAATTTTAGCCACCTTCGGATATATCGAACACTGCGCGAGCTGCAAGGGGCGCTTCGGCACTTACCGTGCCCCACGATCTCTGCGGTAGCGCGACTCCGCACTCGAGTTGTAAGTGCGCTTTGGCACTCGCAGCGCCCAGCGACCTCCGCTTGACCCTGCACCTCCGTCTAAACCTAAAACGCCCGAAAAAAGATAAAGGCAAAGGGGCTTGGACTGCACGGCCTGCAACTTGCGAAATGGCTTTTTTTTTTTCTTTTTCTCTCATGGTTTCCCTGTGTACCCATCAGGTCAGAGAGCAGAAACAAAGAAGCTGACGGCCTCCTCCTTTTGCATTTTTAAAAATTTTTTTGTTACTGTTTTGAGAGTTTTGATCAGCCAACCACAGATCGCGCCTTTTTCTGTTGCCCTTGCCAGTAACCATCACCTAGCGAGCGCTTTTTTGGCGAAGTCCACTTTCGTTGTCACGTCGTCTACGTACCACTGTATGTGCAGCATTCTTCTTTTGCGTGTGTGGTGTGCAAAGCCGCTGCTGACTCCTAGAACTGTCGACTTCTCGTGTAGCTATGGCGAGCGTCAAGAAGCACAAGATCCTTGACTTTGCGACGACGTTGAAGGCTAATCAGCGTGTTGAGACGGGCAAAAAATGTTCGACCGCCGCGGACTACTTCGGGATACCACGCAGCACTTCTAGTGTGTTGTTGAAGAACAAGGCCGATAACAAGGCAAAGGTGGCGGAGCAGCATACGTCGGGAGCCTGTCGTGTGATGGCGGAACTTGTGAAAACCGGTGAAGACAACAGCAAGCACTTAGACAAGGCGTTTAACGAGTTGTCGTCCCTGTTGCTGACAGCTGTTCCACATGAACTGTCTGCGGACGATTTCGTGGAAGCGGATTGCAATGTTCAGGCCATTGCAAGCCTCACTGACGAGGACATAGCAACTACGGTCGCAGGACCCAGGATTCCAAGCCGAGAGCTCAAGTGACGAGCAGGACCGTCTGGACAAGGCGCTGGTTACACGCACATACTCCACCGCGGAAGTGGTGGCAGCGTTCGGCTTCCATACACCGTTGCGTCAGCAACATGGAGTGAACCGGGCTGTTGCAACTAGAAAGCCATGATAAGATCGAGACGAGCGCCTTCAAGTTCATATGGGAAATGAAGAAGCAAGCCAAGATAAGGGTTTTTTTTTTTTTTTTCAAGCAAATAAAACATTTTGTTGCGGCGTGTATGCGGAATTAGTTGTCATTCCTGAATGCGCCTATTGTAGGTGATGGTCTGCTACAGGTAAGCTTTCGGAGTCTGCATTATTTTTATACCGAATTTTCAATATATCGAACTAATTCACGATCCCCTTCAAGTTCGATATATCTGTGTTCGACTGTACTGACAATCAAGCATGACATACTTTTAAACATCGGACACCGCAGCCACATACATTACAAATGAGATTTCTGCTTGAAGTCATGGCTAGGCCTAACTTTACTCTGAATTTCACGGGCAAGACCATCACGTTAGCGTACATGCCAAATTGAAAAAGCGATATTGTGCTTTGTCAACAGCGACGAATTACATAATCCGCTGGCTCCTGAAAACCACAGATGGGCATATTGTGCATGAACGGCGGACCTTCCAGCCAAGCTCAGCGATATGCAGCGACCACTCGAACCAGCGCCTAGCAATTTCAGCGTCAGTGCCCCATAACAAAAGACAAAGCACGCTGCGCGCAGATTTCTTTGCCACCTTAGTTAGGCAACTGACAATTAACACACAGCAAATTGGTGGCCTTCGTTTTTAAATCGATACACGAACTTCCTGGTGCGCTGTTGCCGTCCTGAAAGTATGCCAATTTTTTAGTAAGAAGTTACTGAATTTGGGATGTCCGCTGCAAATAGTTGTGACTGCGTTGCTGGCATCACATTTTAGTTAATTATATTCGAATATTGTTTGTACCAAAATCTGTAGTAAGCAAAACTCTATCAATAATGTAAGGCTTGTGCGAACAGTGAACTTTATGTTCGAAGCAAACCCGAAGCGAATAGTGATTTTGGTTGAATAAGTTCAAATCAAGCTCGAATAGTATCCATGACATATTAAGAAAAATGGACATATTTTTCATAACCTAAATAACCAGTAAAGCATTTTTTTGAAAATTGAAATAAGACCTCTATGCCAAGGCCCTTTTTCTTTTTTTCATTCAAAGAAAGTTGAAACAATGTTGAGTAGTAATAGGATTTGACATTTGGTAGGATGCAAGTGACGACACATAAAATACGTAACATATTGAAGTTTATTATACTGAAAGCATGTAAGCCAGCATAACAAGCTTCTAAACTTCTAACAAGGTTTTAAAGAGTGAGGAATCGATTTGAGGGTAATAAGCTCATTTAAAGGGGCCCTGTAACACTTTTTCAAGTAGTTGCGAAATGGATTCACTGATTGCCTCACGAATTCGCCATCACAAAAATTTTTAGAATCCATCTAGTACGAGCAGAGTTGCAAAGATTTGTCACACACTGCAATTGCATTCTCACTTCTTGCCTCAACGAGAGTGCTGGAAGCTAAGCAGCGAGAGATAACCTGGGGAGAAAAAATACGCCAACCGCACCTGGTGACCTTGAGCACTATTTTTTTTTCGAATACGAGGCTTTTCAGTGAGATTGCGCACATGTGCGTGGACAAGCCCCAGCCTCCTGCGGTGGACCCAGCAACAACCCATTAGCCATGCTCAAATCAGCCAATGACAGAAAAAGTGGCTGTGACAAGTGATTTTCCAGATAGTGATGTCATTTGTCGAGAGAAGAGAACGATTTTCAGCTCACTTAGAAAATTTATTCTTAATGGCAAGCCTCATGCTACGCTATAATATTTGAATCGCATGTTCTCGGTACCTTGGCTATCGATCGGCAGCGTATTCTGACCATGCTCAGAAAGTTATGAACCATCTCCCGAAAGGGAACCATGATCGGATGCGAAGCAGCAGCAGTGCACACGCCGTTGACCCGGATGAAATGGGCGCCGACGTGGGTGCTGGAAGAACGGTTTTAAGCGAAACTCAGTGTAGCTTTCTTTCGAGTAAACGTTTCTTTGAAACGCAAAGACCCGGGAGGCTGGTTGGGCTTCATGTAAGTTTCATCGGAAATAAACAAGCCGAACGAATGTTTCCACTCGGCGTGAAATCAAGGGTTGCAGGCAATGGTGAGGTTGAAGTGAGAGAAGTGTGTTGCGAGCGGGCAGGCGAAGAAGCAACACCACCTAGCTGTGTTGGGTGGAGCCGGCAGCCGTGGCGGGTGAGCGAGAGAGTGACTTGACCTACATGGCATCGTTCGTACGACTGCGGAGGGAGAAACAAGGTGCAGCACGTTAGCACGGAGACACGGACGGACAGGGTTACACAGGCTAGTTAAAGAGCTGCTTCGCATCTAAAAGTGTTGCAGGGCCCTCTTAAATTTGAAGGGGGGCTTCATTGCAGAGCGCCATTACCCTGGTCAGGTGCTCTCACGGCTTAGCACCCCTACACTGCAGCGAAACCACCTTTGCAAAAGGTTACATGCGGATTATTATACACCTATTCGTTCACCGCGAATACTTTGAAATTTTTAATAATTGAAATCCGAATAGGAGCAAATTCAAGTACTCTACTATTTGTTTGAATATTTGAAGCATTCAAATATTTCCACAAGCCTAAATGAAACAAATAGTGTAGCTGGCATAATGATGCTAATGGGTATGTTGTAATTTGTATGTTGAATCACTACATCAGCTTGTAACCTCCTTACAAGCAGACGTGTTGTAACGAGGTTGTACTGTATTCACAATGGATGTGCACTTCACTTGCTATATTTCTATAAAACACCTCGTGCGACTCCATTTTCGGAAAGCTGGTAACCGATGTTTTTCATCAGTTGCGAGCTTCATGGGAGTTGCCATCAGGCCTTTACTTGGAATTCAGCTTGCCACTGAAAGCATAAACAATAGTACATACACTGTCTTCAGTCACTCACCAACAGGGCCCACCACAAACGACTGAAATTAAGTACAGGATTATGATGGCTCACCTGTGAATACTGCAATTGGCTCCAGGGAAGGCTTGAAACGTGGGGAAGGCCAGCTGATGCTGTGGCCCCTGCCTGCAGGTAAGGCAGCCACTTACAGTGGATTCCAAATGCAGTGATTACAAGGACACCTCAGATTACGCAACACTCGTAGCACATACCTCATTCACACCACACCTGAAAGCGGGCGAGAGGGACCTTCCTTTTGTGACTCGCCTGACCTCATTACAAGACGGCCAGAACGTCCCATCACCAATGAGGTAATGTATACTGTCATGTTGTGGTAACTGTGATAAAAAAACAGCCAATAAGGCTTCAACAAGGCGTTTAGTCGGATACAAGTGTCCTCATTCTCAGAGGGTAATGCTCTCAATGCCTACACGAATGGGCAGACAGCACTCCAGACTCCAGAGAAGCAGAAACCTGCCTTCGAAGAACAATGTGAAGTCTATGAATGGGATTACTTCATTAGTCACACAGGCAATTAGCTCGCACGCTTCGGTCATTGGGGCAGGGCCTCTTTGGACCTTTCAAATGGGCTTTGGAAACACTTTTCGAGCAAGGTCAGAAAATGCTGCTGATCGGTAGTCGAGGCTCCAGACAACCCACGAGCAAAATATTAGAGAGCAGCATGCGGCCTGAAATTTACAATAAATTCTCAAAATCAGCTAAAAATCACTTCCCCTCTTCCCTCAACAATTGACGCTTAGCCCCAGGCCAAGTATGGAGCCATTCACTGATTTGAGCAAAGCACGCTCAGTCATTACTGGGGGCGCTAAGAAAGGCCACAACTTGTCAACCCCAGCACATGCTAATGCACTGAAAAGTTCTGCATTTCAAAGAGAGAAAATGCTCAAGGTCCCAAAGCACACATGACGCATTTCCTTCACACCCTGTTATATTCAGTTTCGGTTTTTACTTTGTGTTCTTTCACCCCCAGGGGGCGCGTCTGTCCTTTATGTATATATTCGATGTGTTGCGTACAATAAACGTCTTTTTGTATGGTGGTGCTGCCGGTGCTTCTTACGTCTTTCGCAAACACCACATTGGCGACGAGGATGGGATAAACACGTCAAGCTACCTTCAGCATCGAGTGTCGTCCGGGTCCACCCTGCCATAAGTTTCTCCGGCCTTGCTCCGCCGCCGCCGTTCCTCCCGACGCCCGGCCGGCCGTCACTTCCATGGGAAAAGTGGGCGCAGACTTTAACAGTCTACCTTCAAGCGTCCGGAGCAGCCGAGTTCCCACCAGCGCGACGCAAGGCCATTCTTCTGCATTGTTTGGGGGCGGAAGGGCAGCGTGTTTACCGGACTTTACCTGCAAGGTCAAATGCCGCAGCACCAGCAAGCGCCGCAGCACCGGAAGTACAAGAGAAGCCTCCCGCGACCGCTACTGACGAGTACGAGGCTGCACTCATCGCCTTACGGCAGCAGTTTTCCACGACGTGTAACGTCGTCGTCGAGCGTCATCGTTTCCACCGCCGCAGCCAACATGCAGGCGAGTCCGTTCATGACTTTGTTGCTGCTTTACGGGAGCTCGTTTCGCATTGTTCGTTCGCTTCACAAGATGATGCTCTGCGGGACCAATTTGTTGCCGGCGTTGTTTCCAACCGCGTACGCGAACGGTTGCTGCTCGAGGGTTCCTCTTTTTCGATCGAGAGCGCAGTGCGGATCGCTCTTCAGTTTGAGCAAGCAGCTGAAGAGCTGAAGGAATTTTCTGGTTCGGTCGAGCCTGTTTCTGTACGGCGTCGTTCCCAGTATTCGCATTCTTCGCGAAAATTCAATTTCCAGCCAAAAGCGCATTTTCAGCAAAACTCTCCAAGCGCTAGCGGTTCGCGTGCGCAGCAGGGGCCCCGCCCCCCTCGGCGAGGCCGACATAGCCGGTCCGTTTCACCACACTGTTTCCGATGCGGCTCGCGGAATCACCGCGCATCAACGTCACAGTGCCCTGCGCAGGGAAAGAAGTGTTTGTTTTGCGGTATCAAGGGCCACTTTCAGAAAGTATGCAACCGCAAGCGTCAAATGCAAGGCAGGATTCGTGAAGTTGGCATCGATGACGATGCTTTGTCAGGGGGAAGTTCTGAGCAAGTTTTGACTGTGTAGCATCTCGCTCGCAGCGCAATTAACATACAAGTGCGCGTAGCGGATGTCAAGTTGTCGTTCCTTGTTGACTCAGGGTCGTCTGTTTCAATTCTATCAGAGCAAGAATTTCACCAACATTTTCAAAGCGGTTTGCTCCTCCCAGCTCCGCATGTCACTTTGGTTGACTATTCGAAGCGCCCAATTTTCGTGCTAGGCTGTTTCCAGGCAGATGTTCAGTTTAAAGGGCGCTCTGCACCACTTCTTTTCTACATCGTTCGCCAAGGAACTTGTCTGATTGGCCTTGACGGCATTAAGGCTTTAAATCTTCGAATACAGGGCTCCACTCTTGAGTGCCTGCACACGTCCGTTGCCCTGCCGCCGTCTGTTAATGACCAGACACCTTGTCACATTTCGATGCAGTCACTAGAGCAACCCAGGCAAGCAAACCTTCCGCCAGCCTTGGAACACGATTTCGGTTCAGTTTTCAGTCCCGAGTTGGGTCTTGCTAAGCGGTTTACGCATCGTGTCAAGATTCAGCAAGGCGTGTAGTCGGTATCTTCGAAGCTGCGCCGTCTTCCATATTCACTTCAGGAACCAGTGTCAAATGAACTTCACAGATTGCTGAGCCTTGACATCATCGAACGCATCGATGCTTCTGAATGGGTTTTGCCCATTGTTGTCGTTGACAAGAAAGACGGCACCATCAGAATTTGTGTTGACCTCCGGGAGCCTAACAAGGCTATTGTACCAGGCAGCTTCCCGTTGCCTCACACAGAGGAACTCCTTCATGCCTTGGTAGGCGCGACACTATTCTCAAAACTTGACTTGGCTTCTGCCTACCATCAGGTTCTTTTGCACCCTGACAGCAGGGACCTGACAGCAGGGACCTGACAGCAGGGACCTGACAGCAGGGACCTGACAGCCTTCATCACGCATGAAGGACTTTTTCGGTTCAAGAGAGTTTGCTTTGGGTTAGCTTCTGCCCCAGCGGCATTTCAGAAGATGATGGCCACAATTCTAGATGGCTGCCCTGGTGTGTTGTTCTACATTGATGACGTGATAGTCTTTGGGAAAAGTGCAGAAGAACATCTTCTGAACTTAACAAAGGTCTTGCAGAAAGTCAAGTACGCAGGCCTGAAATTGAATGACAAATGCCTCTTCGACGTTCCAGAACTTTCTTTCCTAGGGCATAAGGTCACAGCACAAGGTATCTCGCCGCTTCCAGAGAAAGTAGACTCGGTAGTTAACACTCCAGTGCCAACAGATGTTGCTGCCCTCCGTTCATTCCTGGGTCTTGTAGAATACTATTCCAAGTTTGTTCCCCGCTTGACCCAGGTGGTCGAGCCTATGCGCGTTCTGCTTCGCAAGAATGAGCCATTCATCTGGTCAGCCGAAGCAGACAGCAGTTTCCGGAGGGTCAAGGAAATGCTTTCTTCAAGTACAGTTCTCCACATGTTCGATCCATCACTTCCAGTCATCGTGTCGACCGACGCTTCTGACTGTGGGCTGGTAGCCGTTCTGCAGCAGAAAAATGGCCATGAGCTCCGCACAGTGGCTTTTGCGTCTCGTACCTTGTCACCAGCAGAAAGAAAGTACTCGGTCGGCGAACGCGAAGTGTTGGCATGCATTTGGGCGTGCGAACGATGGCACACTTACCTTTGGGGTCGGCATTTCAAGATTCGAACGGACCATCAGGCGTTGGTATCGTTGCTGTCTTCGCAAGGACGTGGCAGAAGGCCACTTCGAATTGCACGCTGGAATGCGCAACTCCTATGCTACAATTTCTCTATTCAACCTCTCTATTTACCGCTGTACTCCACAGGCTACCACTGGAGTTGCCCCAGCAGTTCTGCTGCATGGGCGAATGCCCCGAACCAGATTGAATGTTGTGGGGTTTTCGGCACCAGCGTTTGCAAAAGACCCAGCAAAGGAACTGGCGCGACTGCGCCAAAGGGTCCGGCTTCAACAGCAAAGCAGTAAGGAGTACACGGACCGCAGGAGAGCTGCTAAGCAGCCAAAGATAGCTGTGGGTGATTTCGTTCATATCAAGAAGCCGTCCGTTCGCTTAAAGGGGGATCGCTCCTTTTCCTCGCCAACTGAGGTGTTGGGGAGGAGGGGACCTGCCTCTTTCCGACTTGCAGACGGCCGAACATGGAACGCCTCCAAGCTTTCCCGGGTTCCTGAGAGGGGCACGAGTCCACCATACCAACGTTCGGAGCTACCTGCGCCACAGCTTCCGGTTCAAGTGCCGCAGCCAGCCTGCCCTGCCGCCGCCGCCTTCTCCCGGGTCGCAGCTGCCGCCTCCTGGCGTACTACAGTCTGCCGTACCGCAGTCGCCTGCTCCTGATCCGCAGCTGCTTGTACCGGAGCCTGCCATGCTGCAGCCGTCTTCTCCCGGGCCGCAATCGCAGTCTCCTGGTGTACTACAGAGCTCTGCAAGCTCATTACCATCTCCGGCCGTGCAGCATCCCCATCGGCCGTCCCGAGAGCGCCGGCCACCGGTCTGGCTCAAGGACTATCAGACCCACTAGTTGCCTGTGTGTATAGCACAGTGTGTATGTAGTGTAAATATGTATGTGTATACAGCGTGTAAAATGTACAGTGCATGCATAGGGGTTTCTTACTAACACTTACTAACAACTAATCACTACATATAAGAGAGGGAGTACGTTTTATTCAGTTTCGGTTTTTACTTTGTGTTCTTTCACCCCCAGGGGGTGCGTCTGTCCTTTATGTATATATTCGATGTGTTGCGTACAATAAACGTCTTTTTGTACGGTGATGCTGTTGGTGCTTCTTACGTCTTTCGCAAACACCACACACCCCTCCATGCTTAGTGCTCTCGGAGGCAAAAGAAGAAAGAATGACATTGGAGCTTGGGACCATTCTTCGTAACTCAGCTCGTACTGAACAAATCGCGAAAATATTCACTGCGGTGAATTCATGAGGCAACAAGTTCCTTTAGTGAATGCATTCTATCACTACTTAGAAAAGTG